CAGCCGCTGTTGAAACTGATCAGTGGCTGATTCCAGGAAGCTGGGGGCAGAGCAACTCTGCCTCGGGCTTCCTGTAGTCAGCCCCTGGTCAGTTTCAGCAGCAGTGGCTGAATCTGGAGCCAGTTCTGAGTTACGTACAAATTCAACTTAAGAACAAACCTATAGTTCCTATCTTGTACGTAACCCGGGGACTGCCTGTATATCGAAATAGAATGGGCTCACTATTCCAACGTCCCTGTAAACCTCATTGCACAAGGAGTAAGGGATGTTACGGAATAGCAGGTTATTTCAAAATTACCTTGAAATAAGCTATGCAAATTGTGTAGCTTATTTTGAAGTAAGGGTACTATATAGATGCACTCCTTCAGAGCTCATCAAGTCCAGTCTACTTGCAGGACCAAGCACCATCTAGATGGTATCTACTGTCTTGGCAGCCCACCAAGAACTAACCCAGGTGAACTGCGCCTGGCCTACTGGCTGCTTATTGCCCACCGCCCAGGTTAAACCTTTCTCTAAAGGCATTACACATGTATGGAAATTTCTGTTGCAGATTCAGGAACTGTAAAAGTATCTTAAGTATATGCAGTTTCTAAATCTGAGGGAGTGAGGGCCGTGAAGAGAAAACCTTACCTGAATGGAAGCTTGTATTCTGTTGAAAAGAAACTTTGATTCCAAGATCATCACCTAGTTCAGTAGAGTTCCTTTCGCCATCATTCTCAAATTGTTTATCCATATGAGAGACAGGGAAGTCACTCTTTTCTCCCAGTTTTGCGTCTACAGTTATTTCACCTTGATTCGTATTTACTGTCAATTTGCTTACATGTTCAGAAATTAGTGAAAGAGTCTGTGCCCTAGGAAGTGGAGTCCTTATTTCAGAAAAGTCACTTTCTAATAAGCTACTGTTAACATTATAGTCTATGTTTTCAAAATTATGATTTCTCATTGCTTCTTCTGAAGGAATACAAGGTTTTGATGTAGCATCCACTAAAGGAATATACTCGTCAGCTCTTTCACTACCTGCAGCCATCTCTGTAGAAGGGCTAACAATGACTGTAGAACCTGTACTGATCTCCATGCAGAGGGCTTCATTTACACTCATGAGGTTCACTGTAGTCTCAGCTGTTTCTGAAACATCAGCGTCTGCTGTGATCTTAGCTACTACTGATTTTCCCATTACAACATTCTCATGAATCTCCCTTTCTCCTCCATCCATGCTATTATCTCCTTCTCTACCACCCCTGGGCAAAGAACTATCACTTTTTTCTGCGCATGTAGATGACAGGATGCATTCAATTTCTTTGCTACTGTTAACTAGGACATCATTTTCATCTTTTACGTCTGTGTTTGTAGCAATGAGCTGGCTTTCTTCTATGACTGCAAAGGTGAAAAGACTGTCACAGTCTTCCATTGTACTGAGAGCAATCACAGTACCTTCCTCTTTATTTTCTATACTTGAAGCAACGTGTTGATCTTCATTGCTGCTGGCAACTTTGAGCACTGGAGCCCCACATTCTACCACATCCCTAACAAAAATCATAGAACCACTATTTTTTCCTTTTGGGTTTATAGCAGTTAGCTCACACCGCTCATCTGTTGTTGCACTGGTATCAATCACCTTAGGTTCTTCTGCTACATTTGGGGAGCTCATGGAACCCTCATCTTTTTCTTCTGTTTCTACGGCAATGAATGAACTTTCAGCTTGTGTGGCTGCACTGATCAAGACTATATCACATTCTTTTGTCCCACTTCTGGTGATTATGGCAGCATCCAGTCTTCCCTCTGTTTCTGAAGCAGTGAGCTGATCCTCATCTTGTGTGGCTGCACTGGGCATAGGAGCCTCAAAATATTCCATACTTGTAGAGATCATGGAAGCGTCACTTTTTGCTTTTGCGCCTGCAGCAAGATGTGGAATCCTATCCTCTGTGGCTTCACTGGACATGAGAATTACTTGTTCTTCCATTATACTTGTGGAAATCATAGCACACTCATCTTTTTCTTCTTTGCTGCTTGCAGTTGGATGATTCTGGTCATCTCCAGCACTGGAAGCACTGGGCATGGCAACCTCATATATCTCCATGCCTATACAAAACACAGTACTTTCATTCACTTCTTCTGTTCTTGTAGCAGTGAACTGACTATCATATTCCATAGCTGCACTGGACATAGGAGCCTCAAATTCTTCCATAATACTTGTGGAAATCATAGTACACTCATCTTTTGCTTGTTTACTGCTGGCAGTATGTGCAGTGTCTTTGAATTCTGTGGCTGTACTAGGCATGGGAGTCTCAAATTCTTCACTGTCTAGTAAGACAGTGCTTTCATTTTCATCTGTTCTTGAAATGGTGAGGGAACCTTCTTCAACTTCTGTGGCTGAACATGGTTTGGGAGCATCACCTTCTACTGTACTGGTAGAGATCACATCACCTTTAGTTTTTTCTACTCTCTCAGTAGAAGCAGGTGGAGACTCAACTTCATTTGTGACTGCATGGGTTATGGCACCCTCACATTCACTGCCATGACTTCCATTAGCACCACTGTCACTCTCTTCTTTAGCTGCAGCAGCAAACTGATCTTTATCTGTCACTGCACTAGTCATTGGATCCTCATACTCTTCAACATCTATAGACATCACATCCTCATCTTTTTCTGTATTTGGGATTAGAGCATCTTCATCTATGTTTGCACTTGTCACACTACTCTCAACTATCCCTCTTGCTCTTTTGTTGATTATGCCACCATTAGCTTCTTTCTTTGCACCAGTATTGCTATCAACTCCATCATCTTTATTTATATTTGTGGCAGCCACGCCTGACTCAGCTTCTACTTGCTCTGCAACTATGCAGATAATGGAACTTTCACTTTCTTCTGCACCTATACAAATGAGTGCACTCTCACCTTCTATTCCTGTACAGGTTGAAGCATTCTCTATTTCTTCATTTTCTCTCCCAGTACTGGTCACAATACCCTCACCTTCTTCATCCTCTTCTTTTGCACCTGTACTAGTCACAAAGGCTTCATCATCACAGGGCCCTATGCAGATCATAGGGATAGTAGCTTCTTCTTTTGGTCTTGTACTGTCCATTGCACTTTCACATTTTTCTATATCTAAGCCAACTGCAAAACCTTCATTGCTATCTTCCAGTCCTGTGCAGACTGTTGCAATCTCAGCATCATCTTCTGTTGTTATGCCCGTGCTAGTCACTGCACTTTCACCATTCACAGTATCTTCACCTTTGTCAGCACTTGTTCCAGTCATGGTATTCTTGTTCATGGTCATTTTGACACATGCACCAGTCACAGCACTGTCTTCTTGTGCATCTGCACAAGTCACTGAGCCAATTATGAAGCCATCACCTCTTTCTTCTGCACCTGTACAAGTTACAGCACCCTCACTTTCTTTTAATTGGCCAGCACCAGTTACATTGTTCTGGAATTCATCTAAATTGTTGATGCTCCTGGATCCTTCACCTGCATCTGTGCCTGCACTGGTTACAGCACCATCACTTTCAACTTCACTTATACAGGTAACAGAACCTTCAAATTTGTCCGTATGTCTACAAGTTGAAGTCTTGCACTTTTCTTCTGAGCCTGCACTAGTTACAGCATCATCTTTTTCTTCTGTCCCAGCACTGTTCACGTTGTCCTCAATTTCTAGTCTGCCTGCATTTACTGAATCTTTACCATTTTCTTCTGTATAAATCGTTGTGCACTCACCACTTTCTCCTTCCTTTGTACTAGTCAGGAAACTTTCACTTTCTGCAAATCCTCCAGTGACACCACCACCACTTTCTTCAGCTACTGCAACTGTACACTCACCATCTGCTTCTGTGCTGAAACTGACACCTTCATTACTATTTGCCCATATACTTGCAGTTAACCCTTCATCTGCTTCTATGCTGGAACAGATTAAAGTAACCTCACTTTCTTCTGAGCAAGTAGTTGTGGCATCACTTTCCTTTTCAGAATGTATCACAGCACGCTCACCTTCTCCTTCTCCAGTACTAGTGGCCATTACAGTGCTCTCAAGCATTTCCTCTGTGCTAGTTCCTATTGCAGTGGCCTCCGTTGTGTCTAGTCTGTTGTATACGTGATCAACACTTCCTGCACTGGTGCCCACGGCATTGCTTTCATTTTTATCTTCAGTGTTAATTATGTCATCATCATCTTCTGCGCCATGAACTACAGAGTCTTTAATTATTTCTTCTGAAACTCTTACAACATTAATAGACACTGGCTCCAAAGAAGAGTCTACTGTGCCACCCATATCATGTCCTTCACTCTTTTTGATAACATCCACTATGGCATCCTTTTCTTGCTCTGCAGCAGGGCCTATATTTAAGTTGCCACTTTCTTTCATTAAGACAGATTTTTTCATGCTTATACCTGTATGATCTGCAGCTTGGTTAGTCATCAAGCTTTTGCCTTCTGTTTCCCCAGTTACATTATACTCATTTCTTCCTTGCACACTATTTAACCCAGCCATTTGATCATCATCATGTATACTTGCCTCACCCATGTTCTCTCCGACTACTTGTACACCAATTAGATGAGTCTCACTACCTTTTTCTTCAGCAACTACCATGGTAACCTCACTTTCTTTCATAACACAACCTTGCACAGGGCTACCCTGTTCCACATGTGCAATTTGTGTTGCATTATTGTCTAAATTAAAGGACTCTTTATTTAAATAAATCTTATCCAAGACACAAGATTCCTCTTCAGCCAAATTCGGCAAAGAGTCTGTGAAGTCTGAGCAAGACATATCCATGGACTTTTTATGGGAAGTATCTTGTCCGGATGAATTAATCGCTAAAGAAACATTTTCTTCAATAGGATTGACTACATTGTTTACATTTTTTAGCTGTCTGGCATCTTCTGAAGTCTGCTCCTTAATAGGAGCATTAAGTAAAATTCTGCCACTTGTTTCATACACAATGTTCATTTGATACGCCCCCTGTTTAATGGGTCCTTGCTCCTCAGAAGTTTGTCTGAACACAGTATCTAAGACATCAACTCCTTTAATAGGATTTGTTTCATGTTCAATGCTTTGTTCAGAATTTCTGTCAACTGGAGCTGTAAACTCTGACACACACATTTCAAAATCTACCAACCTGTTTTTGATTTCATTGTTGGAGCTATGTAGGTTCATATTTTCTTTTACAATATTTTCAGAGTCCCTGTCCAGTAGTGAATTACTACTGCTTTTTTCTTCAGTTTTAGATGCTTCATTTACCTTTGCATTAGACTGCTCTGAATCAATTTCCATTGGCTCTTCTACTTGTTCAGAATTTAATGAGTTATCAGCAGTCCTGATTGGTGTTTGAATGGCTGGAATGTGGCTGGTTACAAATGTTTCAGTTGCTAATTTTTCCTCTTCTACTGTAATTTCATGGGCTAACAAACTTCCTTTTTTATTTTCACAAAGTAATTTCTTACTTGACTTTTTATCCATAATCACAATTCCTTGCACCTTTTCATGGCTACCATCCATTTCTTTAATATCTTTGTCCTCCAATTTGTTACTCTCTTCCTTCTTTTTCATTTCTTTATTGCTATGCTTTAAGTTTCTGCTTTTCTGACCCTCTACTGACAGCTTTTTTTCTATTTTGGCACAACTTAAATCTTTATCACTCTTATATTTCTCTTTTACAGATTTTTCTCCTGCTTGTAATTTAACTCTGCGGCTAAAGTCTTTTTGTGAACTATGAACTGAGTGCATCTCACTTTCTAGCTCAAAATCAACAATGCTTTCGTCAAAAACTTTATCTTCATTTCTGGATTTGCGTTGTTTATCTGTGTCCATTTCTTCCATATTCTTATCTTTGTCTGGTTTTTGACTAGTTTCGTGTTTTGTAAAACTTTCTTGTAATTCTATTTCAATTGGTTTGGACTGTTTACTGTGACACTTAGCTTTAGACTTAGAAGACTTGTCTTCTAAGAAGCTCTTCGATCTTCGTCTGTCTCTGTGAATACTATCTTCTTGCTTTAAATTACTATCTGAATTAGCTGATTCTATTTCATATTTATCTTCTGAATAACTTTCACTTCTCCTCTGTGATGAAGAAACAGGTTGCTTTGAATTACCCTGAGAATCCTTCTGTGGCCTAGAATCACTTGATGATCTTTTGGATTTGTATTCTGCTCTTGACTTTTCTGTAGAAATGTGTCTGTCTTTTTTGTTATTTTCTTTACGTAATATTTCTTCATTTTTTAAAGTGTATTCAGAAACATTTTTTCCATCTTTGCTAGCTGTTGATATTTTCCTTTCGCTTCTGTGTTTATTTTTTTTTTCAAATTTATCATCTGATGGAAGTTTTGTTTGTTGATTATATTTTTGTATATTATCCTCTCCTTTCAAGCTTCTCTCAAAAGAATGAATGTCTATTTCATCACTTACTTTATGTGAACCGTCTCCTTTATACCTATGTTTTACTGCCAATTTATCTTCTGAAAGAGTTCTCTCTTTTTCATTTTTCTCTCGACATGATTTCAGTTCTTTCTTGGGAATACTTTTTATATTTTGAATGTCTGTATCATCTTTTTTAAGATGTTTTTCATTTTTAAAGGCATACTTCTGCTTCTGCAGTTCATCAGTACCCGTCTCTGCTCTGTCCAGCTGCTTTTTAGGATCCTTTGTTTCAGTGTCCTGCTGGGTCCCTTCTATCTGAAGCGAGGTAGATAGTTTTCTTTTATGTTCTCTTTCCACTTTAGGATCATTTTTGCTTTCCTCAGTTGAATGTACTGATTCTGAAACTCTTCTAACAGGCTTGGTTGCTTCACTTTTTCCATGATTATGTTTCAAATCCTTCAAAGAGGTTTTTTCACAGGTCTAGAACAACAAGAACAAAACAAAATCAGTATACATACTAGATTCAGGAATCGATTTATCTCAATTCAGGGCTTTGAAAACGTTACAAAATATTTCTTGTAAGAACCGCAAGTTAATTTCTCTCTCCCAAAAGGACAAATATGAAATAATCATCAGATTAGTAGGCCTCCCTGAATTAATTTGTTTGAACTAGAGTTTAATCTTTAAAATAATCCAATCTTGATTTAAATATTTCTAGTGATAAAGAATGTCATCACCTTTGGTGAATAGTTCTAATTGTTTATCAACTCTCACTATTAAAAAAAATTGCATCTTATTTCCAGCCTGATTGTCAAGCTTTAATTTCCAGCCATTAAATCTCGTTGTCTCTGTCTGGTTAAAAAAAAAAAAAAAAAAAAAAACCACTCTGATCAAATTCTTGTTTCTAAAACATAAACCAATCAAAATCACCCCTTAAATGCTCTCTTTGATAAGCTAATGAAACTTCTTGAGTCTCTCACTACTTGAGTCTCTCATAACACACGTTTACCAAATCCTTTGCAATTCTCACAGATCTTCTTTGAATCCTCTCCAATTTTTCAAAGTCTTTCTTGAAATATGAATGTCAGAGCTGGACAGTGTTCCATCAATGTTAAATACAGATAATGTAACCTCCCTAACTCCTCCTAACTTACTGTCACACAAGAATTAGAGGGAAAAATAATTCATAAAGATTAATCTAGTAGAATAGATATTTAGTATACACAGAATCATTTTTCCAATTAAAAATGAACAGAACAAAGACATTTGATAATGTCTGTAGAGTAAAACAAAGATATTTGCTGTGGAATTTACTAACTGATCTATGACACAAACCTCATTTGTCTTTTGTGATTCTTTGGAATCTTCTTCAGGATGTTCACATTTCTTTTTCCAGCTATCTTCAACATGCCTAAAATAGATAGTCAAATCATCAGAAAAACCTTGCAACAACTGAGTAACTCATCAACTCTCAGACTAAGAGAAAACAGACATTGTGCACACGATGGGGGAGAGGGGAAAGGAATGCAAGCCAAAATCGGGAAAGAGATAAATTAAATGCATTTAAATCAGCAGGGGCTGATGAAATACGACCTAACAAACTAGCTGAAGCAATTACCTTTGAGAACTCACGGAGGATGGGTGAAGTCCCTGAGGGCAGGAGAAAGGCAAACCTAGGTACCTATCTTTAAAAAAACAAGATAACCAAAGACAATCTGGGGAACTATATATCTGCCAGTCTAACTTCAATGCCTGGAAAGATACTAGAACAAATTATAAAACATTCAATTTGTAAATATGTAGGGGGATAGGATAATAAGTACTAGCCAACACAGATTAATCAACAAAAAACCGAGGCCAGACTAACAGAATCTGTGTCAGAATTACTGGCCTAGTGGATAGGGATAAATGGGGTGTGGAGAGGATGCTGTGGACATGATACATCTTGGTTTTAGCAAGGCTTCTGACAGAAGTCATATTTGCATAAGCAAATTATGGAAATATGGTGTAAATGAAATTAGTATACTGCAGGTGCACACGTGGTTGAAAGATTCGAGAGTACGCAAGAGGGTTTTTCAGTGATTTTCTGTCGAACCAGGGAGAACATACATGGCAACTAAGCTCCCTTTAAACCTTATGGCTGCACAGATGCCTATTAAGCCCTGCACATGGGCTCAAGGCTGCAGCAGGGACAGAGGCTTCTTCCCAAGCCCCAGACCTGCCATGGGAAGGAGAACATCTCCTCACTGGCCCCAACTCTAACCATCTGCAGTGGGGGGAAATGTCACTCCCCACTGGTGCCAACATGGACCTGCCCTGGACTTGCCGCATACAGAAGAGAAGCATCCCGGCCGCAATCTAGCCCTGGCATAGACTTGCCATGGCCAGGGGAGACGGGTGCCAGCCCCAACCCAGCTCTGGCACAGACCTGCCAAAATCAAGGGAGAAGATCCCCTGTCGCAGTCCCACTCCACGGCTGCAACACTGCCAGAAGTACCGCTCCCTAAACTTTCAACCTGAGCCCCACCTCAGAGTCCACACCCCAGCCAAAGCTATAACCTCCCATGCTCTTACGCTCTGCCCCAGCCTGAGCCCCTTCCCTACTATACACTGTAGACGTGTGGAATGAAATGTGTTATGTGCACCATATAGTGGTGATGTGTCCATATTAGTGCACATAACAATATGTATACCGCACGTGATCATAAGAAACTCGTCTTAAAAGGACGTGTTCAGGGTTTAGTACTATTCAATACTTTAATCAATTATCCAGATATTGGAGCAGAGAGTATTTTATAAAATGTGGATGAACTCAAGCTTACAGGGGCTGTTAGCACTTTACAGAAGAGGATTAGAATTCACAAGGACTCTGGCAAACTGGAGAAATAGTCTGAAACTAACAAAAGTGAAATTTAATAGACACTTACGAAGGAAAAATTCCAATGCACAACTACAAAATGGGGAACAACTTGTTAAACAGTTGTTCTGCTTCAAAGAATCTGAGGGGGTTATATAGTAGAGCACAAACTGAATATAAACTCACAAAGCAATTGAGAAAAAAGCTAGGTTTTATCAAAACAGGAGAGCTTTTAGTAAGACACAGGTTGTTGTTGTTCCACTCTGCTTGGTACTGGTGAGGCCTCAGTTGGAGTACTGGGTTCAGTTCTAGTTCTGGGTCCCAAACTTTCAGAAAGATGGACAGATTAGAGAGTTCACAGGAGAACAAAAATGATGAAAGGTTTAGAAAACTTGACTGATGAGGAACAGTTAAAGAAGCTGGGCATGTTTAAACTTCAGGAAGGAACTGCTAATAGTCTTCAAATGTGTTAAGGGCTGCTATAAAGATAACTGTTCAATTGGTCTTCATGTCCACTGAAGAAAGGGGCAAGAAGCAGAAGGGGTTAATCTGCAGCAAAGGAGATTTAGGTTAGATATTAGGAAAACCTTTCTAACTAGCCAATTAGCCCACCATAAGATGGGATTTTCAGGTCTCTCCTGAGCCTCTGCTCACTCTCTTTTGCTCGCGCTCTCTCTCTCTCTCTCTCACTCCCTACTGCCTCCCCCTCGGGGGACTGCGGAGCCCAAACAGCTGTTTGGGCTATGTATTCCCCATGCTTCATGGGGGGTGTGGAGCCCGAACGGTCACTTGCACCACTTGCTCCCACATGGTGGCCTGGCTGAGCAGCGCAGAAGTCAGCCGAGTGCCACAGCGGGTGGAGCCCAAACGGTCGCTTGCGCCACTTGCTCCCACGTGGCGGCCTGGCTGAGCAGCACAGAGTCAGGCCCAGCCCCACGGCAGGAGGCAAAGGGGGGGCAGGGCGGTGACGTTCATGGCGAGGGGGCAGGGCCTGGAGCCGCTGTCACGCCGCACGTCACCGCCTCGCCTCCCACCGTGGCACTCGGATGACTTCTGCACCGCTCAGCTGGACCGCCGTGGGGGAGCAAGCAGCGCAAGCGGCCGTTTGGGCCCCTCACTCCCCATGCAGAATAGGCCACTCGGAGGGAAAAGCCAGCATTTCAGGCAACAGCACCGCCCAGAGGGAACAGCCAGCATTTCGGCATTACAGACTCTCAAATACTGGGCTACCATATATATGATTATAAGGGTAGTTATGCTTTAGAATAGACATCTAAGGGAGGCTGTGGAATCCTCATCATTGGAGGTTTTGAAATACAAATTAGACAAATACTTGATCCTCTCTTGGTAGAGGGGGCTGGACTAGATGACCTTTTACGGTTTCTTCCAGTTCTACATTTCTATGATTATTGATTTTTAGGCAGTTCTGAGAACCAGCAGCAGAACCAGCATTCTGGTCACTGTTTAAATCTTAATTTCATGATTTCCAAGTGGTGAATTCCTTAATATTCATATTCTCTCTCTCTCCCCCCCTTTATATTTTATTTAAAGTTTTAAACTGAAACGTAAATGTATTTTTTTAAACTTCCACAATCAAGCAATGAATTAGTCTGGTTACACTGCTGATTGAATTGACAGTGGAAGATAGTTAATTCACTTTAGCATATTTCATTGGTGAATTCACTCTTCCCATACTAGTGGGAAGGCACTTAAAACTGGAGAAAGAAGCCAAGAGACACAAAGGGTCACAAATGGGACTGGAAGCCTGACATCAGTACGACCATAAAAATACACATTTAAATGCACATAAAAGAAATTGATCAAAGGCATTCAGAATACACACTTTATATTGTAACATACTAGGATCTGGCCATTCGGGTGTTATCAATACAGTAAACTAAGAGTATAGGAGTTAAATGGAAAAACCCCTTGATACATTAAAATAAATACCTTAAAAAAAATCACATTTGTTGCTTTAAATTAAGCGTACACTGCCAAAATTAAATTCTTTAAAAACAAATGTAAGGAATACCTTGAATCTCTTTTTCTTTTCCTGCTCAGGGCTACTTTTTTTTCTAAAAACTTCTGCTCTTTAAGAACATCCTTAATGCTGGTACCAGTAACTTTTGATTCAAAATCTTTTGTTGAAGACTCTTCCAAGTTCAGGCCACTCTTATCTAAAATACAAAAAATAATATAAAGACATGTTTTTCAAACACTGAAACTGTTTATGTAAGTGAGACTGAACAATTTGGGAATTACTAATCCTGGTATTTGTGTTATGTTTCAGGAATGTCATTGTGCACATGAAAAAGTTACACATGGAATTTTGCACAATATTTTACTTACTTCAGTATTTAGTTATAATGTTACTAGAATATTTACTTGGTGTTGGTTGGGTCCTTAACTGTTGTTTTTTGGAAAATGAAAATGTACATGCTTCATTAATGTCAGCCGACAGTCAGGGGTGAGGGTGGGGGCCGTACTGTAAATTTCCTTGCGCAAGAGTGGGCGGGCAGTGTGGATGCTTTGCAGATTCTTGCGCAAGAATGGCTGTACTTGCGCAAGAAGCCGCGACTGTAGACATAGTCGAAATGTACTGGGGATAATTAGGGAGCAAGACAGTTCACATACCTCATCTACAGTATCAGGTTCTTTGCATACTCAAGCAGACAGTGTGCTTGCCCCAACGGATCTGTCCTCTGGAAGGTGACACGATCCAACGCTCAAGCTCTTCCTATACCTGTCCCTTATGACCGGCTGAAGTTCTTTTAAATTATGCTTGGTTCTGTTACAGCAACTGAAGGAGTCAGGTTAAAGCTTAAACAGCTACAGGTTTATTAAACAAGCTTATAAATCATATGGTTACAATGGCTATTGCTCTCTTTCTTAACTGCTTGCAAATATAGATCTTAAAAATGGTTACAAAGAAAATAAAGATAGAAAATAGAAATAATGGTGCCAAGTGACAGCTTAATCTTTAAAGAGCTCTAAGTCTATGTGTACACTTAAGACAAAGGACCACATCCAGGTACAATTTTTACCCCCTTCTGTGCCTCTCGACTCCAGCGGGTCAAGCCAGGGCCGGTCCCTCAATTCCTAGGAAAGACTAATACGAGGTGGGCGTCCCCGTGGAACCTCGGGAGGTCAAACACCTAACCCGACCAGCAGATAGATGGTAGATTGACACTCAGGAGTAAATGTGCTGCTGGACCCATCTTTATACCCCTGGGGCCCGTATCTTCTTTCTTATCTAAGATGCCAAATTGTACTGGTCCGTTTTTGTGGCGCCAGTTCTTACAAGCAAGTTTCAACTTAATTTACACTTGCAAGAGAGAACTAAATTGTGAGTACTAGATATTTTTTTACTGGGTGAGAGATTCCTCCCCCCCGTGGATGGCTGTGTGTTCATATCAATATGGGTTTCAGTCAAGGGCACTCCTCGGCAGCCTCTTAGTCAGCAATTGACATATCTGTTTACAGCCATTCAGGGTCACTGAGCCCGCATATCCTGAGCCTCCTGCTCCAAGGCTTTCAAAGACCATGCTGTTTTATTGCTCTGTGTGCCCTGCATGCTCCAGGCAAGCAAAAATGGATGTTACAGGGGGGTTTCCTGTCTGACTACAATTAAATAATTGCTCTGGGGTGCTGCTGGGGGGTCCAGTATACAGGCTGCCCCAGGGAGAGAGGACTTTCTCAGCACAGAATCTTGGTGCCACATGAGAAGCACCTCTCCATGGACTCTGCAACACCAGCAGGCACAGGAGGAGGAGGGGTGTATGCCCCTGGTGCAGCATGTCCAGATTTGTCTGTCCATGAGAAACGTAGCAAACTGTGCACCAGCATTCCCTCTAACATTTTCTATCCTTAGGTAGGTTGAATTTTCTTTTGTGTGGGTTGAATTTTCTTATGTACACTATCAATACAAAACACGTATGTGTATGTATGTGTACACACAGACACTCTATACATATATTTAAGCAGTCCATCTGTGTGGAATAAAATATATTAAAACAAGACACTTGTGACTAGTTGCTGTGAGGTACACTTAGTGACTACAAAAGGTGTTGTACACAGGTAGGGAATTAGCCTTCTTCCATTGGAGGAAGAGTAGAATGCCCAGAACAAATTAACATCTGGCTTCAGGGTTTATAGACATTTGCATGTTTCAAAGAGTTTGCAAAGAAAGTTTCATCCTACAAAATAACTAGCATCACACCTAGTACTTGCTACTTGTAACTCATAAAAGCCAGAACTACACCAGATAGCAAAGACCTGGCTTTAATGCAACACATTTACCATGTATTAATTAGTAACACAGGATTTTAAAAAATCATTAAGTTCAGAGCTTAGATATCTGCAACACCCCAAAAAATTCTGTTAAAAGAATTAAAAACTGAATAGTCTGGCAGCACCATAGGACTATTCGCTATTTTTTAATATTTTTTTCAGCTACAGATTAACACGGCTACCCCTCTGAAACTGTTGAAAGAATCTCTTCTATCTTAAGCCATTAACACCTATATGCAAACTTTGCTTGAAATGTAATCATGCAAATGTCCTCCTAATGTGAACGCGCACGCGCACACACACGGCTTCCCCCCCACACTTCCGCCGAACCAACCCAACAGAAAGGACTGCATTGAGTCAGACACCCTAAACAAACTGCCCCGCGCTTCCACCTCACTGCACAGATCCCACCTCCCCATGCACTCACCTCCTTTACTTCCCCCTTCCTAGCCCAAGAGCGCTGAAGAGACTGCTAGGTTTCTGCCTCTCCCTCCCCCCCCTTTGGCAGAGGGGACTTCTCCCCAAACCAATTAATTACTCCCTCTCTCCTCCCACCCACTCATTCCCTGCTTACCTCGGCTGACTGTCTTCTGTTTGCGGAGGCCCAGTCCCCGCCAATCAGTTGATCTCCCTGCCTGAGACTTGAGCCTCTCATGGGGTTCAGAAAATAGCCGCACGGCTGCTCAGCCGCACAGCTTAGAGGGAACTTTGTTGTGCACTTTTCCCCTTGCTCCCTGATGAAGGGGAAAAGCCAGCAAAATCCCTGTACAAATCGGGGAAGGGGAAGCTTTAGTCCCCCTTACCCTTCTAAAGGGCACCTGGGGGGTGGGAGACCTGGAGATGGGGCAGTCATGGATTGGGGGGCAGGGGGGGAAAAAGGACTCTCTCTCTTTTCTTAATGCTTTAGAAGTAATCCCATTCCATATACATCCCATTTTCCTGGCACAACCAAATCCTTACCTTGCTTTAAATTATAAGAGGAGGAAACTGTATACCAAATTTGGGGGTCTTGGCTCTCTCTTACAGTTTGGGAGGAGTTCTCGAACAAACAAACAGGCAGATTCTCTCAAATGTATAGTAGATGAGTGAAATTTTGGCCACATTGAAGTCAACTGCAAAATTCCCCAATGACTTTGGTTAACACACCCAAGTCTAAACTTGTAATTTTGACATCACCTTCAATACGCTGACTCCCACTTTTCAGAGACTTTGTTTTCTCTGCAGCTTTTTGTTTACGCTTCTCTTCAAGTCTCTCCCTATTAATTTGCCTCCTTAAGAGTCTCTCTTCTTTTTCTCTGGCCTGAAGACACAGAAATAATGAAAAAGATGATTTTTTAGTTTGTTTAATGAAATAAATAAATGATGAAAGTCATGTTAAAAAAACCGAAATGTTATACACAAACTTGTACATTTCTGCAGAAATCAGCATTTCAGTATAATAAAAATAATCAACATGTTCTTGAATAATTTACAAAGTGCTGTGCAAACTAATTAAAAGTCTCAAAATACTTAAGTGAATTAAAATTAGGGATGTTAAAAATCATGCAGTTGTATAAGCATGGATCCACTGAAATTTTTAGCAGTTTACACAGATAAGGGGCTCCTGCCTTCCCCCACCCTTGCTGCCTCAGAACAAGGCAGCAGCACGGGTGGTAGGCAGCTCCATGGGAGCTGGTGCATGCAGGGAGCAACGGGCGGGGGAGCGGAGGGGGGAGAAGAGGGAAAGGGAGAACATAGGCAGCTTCCCAAAGGCACTAGGCTCCTGCTTCTTCCCCCGCTGCGTCTGCTTTAGAAGCAACAAGGGGAAGGGTGCATGTAACTATTAAGATTAACTGATAAGCCTGGGCTTATTGGTTAATTGTGTGAACAAGTACATGCTAACATCCCTAGTTGTTATTAACCCCTTCTCCAACCCATAAGGTTTTATCCCCATTTTACAGGTGGAGAATAGGCAGGCGCAGAGTCAGCATTAGCACTAGTGTGTTCTAACCCCAATTTCAGTCCACTAGACAAAGTTACCTCCACTTTCAAAAGAACTTTATAATTGTTCTCTTTCTTTCCTCAACTCTGTTGTACATATGAATTACATGGCCAAAGCTAAAATCTAGTTTATTCCAGAAGTATCTAGGCAAGCTGCAAAGACGCTGGGCACACTCAGGTGCCTCATTATTAGCCAGAGTTTGTTGTAAAATAGGAGGAGCTGGATAATTAGGTAAACCAGCGATTCTCAAATGACTCTCAATGGATCACTATCATGAAATGCTGACAGATCACACGTTGCTGGAGAAGAACTACAGAAGAATCAGGTGCTTCCAGAAAAAAAAACCCAGCTAAATAAAGAGAACATTTTTTTGATGGAGTTAAAACGTTAATTGTAAATGCATTCAAACTTACAATAGACTGACGACGTTGCTCTACTGTCCGTTCATCATCGGAATCACTGTAGTACTTGGAGTACAGAAATGGTTTGTGAACATATGCATGGCGGACTGGTTTGGCCTTCCAATCGCTAAGTTCATTAGTCTGAGGCTTTGTTTTACTCTGATTGTTTTGCTCTTCTTCGTCTAGTCAGAATTAAAAGTGGACAAATTAAAGCAACATTGTTATGGTAAAATTTAAGTTTTGTAAAAATGAACTGTCATAAAACCTAAGATTAACAGAAATGTCTCCTTTAAAAAAATGTTTCAAAGAGATTCCAATTTAGCATTTACACAGACAAATGTTACTAAAATATGAGATGTGATCAGTCTATTCTCATTGTCCAGAGAAAAATGCAAAACATAATAAACTGCATAAACTGAGAAAAACAATTAGATTAAAAAAACACATTCCATTTTGGTACTATAAATGTGTCATTTGACATGGTTAAGGATATTTTATATATAATTTTAGCCACCAAAATCACATAGCTTTTGGGAATTCCTGCAACCCTAGGGCTGTAATAACACTCTGATCCCCAAATGGTCTGCTCACAGTACACCTAGGCTCAAGTCAGAAAAACAGTCTAAAGCTATATCTATAATATACACTACTGGCAGTGCCACCTAATATACGTGCAGCTGTACACTGCAGAGAAAAGCAGATTGAGTCTACATTGTGGTGTGTAGTTCCAGGTCAGTTTATGGCTCTAGAAGTGAGGAAGCAGCAGGGACAGTCTTCAAGAGCTCACTGTCCCTTTCACTATAGCAAGAAAAGGCTCCAGCAGTGGGGTGCTGGCAAAGTTATTCCCTCCTTCCTCCCGCCTGCCAGGAGTCTTTCTGTATAGTAAGGAAAGGCTCCAGAAGCTCCCTGGGATGCGGAAAGGCTCTCATAGCAGGGAGACAGTTTTAATTCTGTTGCTAAAAAAAACAGCAGAATAGATAGGAAGGCAGAGGCTTGAGCAAGTAGACAGTCTTGTAGGATATGTACTCAGGGACACAACTACACCCTTCAATCATGTATTTACTCACATAAGCTGTGCCTCACCATCTATTCTATTTATGACCAGGAAAAGGGGAGCAACCCATGTAAGTACTCTCCCTGCTTCTAAAAGAAGCATGCCATGCAAATGTACATTTACACTAACTTCACATAAGGGGCGGGGGAGGAAGGTAGAAATCCACACACGAAGCAGAAGGCATTGTTATGAAGTGCCATCACTACATCCTGAAAAACTACACACAAAAAATAATTTTAAAATACTGGACTATATATATATTTTTATTTTAAAATGCCAAGTAATCTATTTTTACTATTATTTATTAACAGAAGAAAAACCGTGAATTTTACCCATCAGACGAAAGGTTCTCTATTATCAAACAATGCATGTATGATAAAATATATTTCAGAACAGACTACAAAGTACTATGTATTCAAATGGCAGAAATACACCAACCAGGATATTACTAACACATGTATTCTTTTTATATTATTTTTACCATCTGATGTGATCTCTCCTTCTTCAGTGCTATCGGAAACTACAGCTTCTTCTTCACTTTCTTCTTCAAAGGAAGAGAGGTCACTGGTGTGGACAGAGCTCACAGTGATATCACTGAGTAAATCCACGTCTGAGTCATCAAAAATATGTTCTTAAAAAAAGAAAACAAAAAAGTTGCATCATGCATTGTATCAAACTAATGTATTTAGCTCATTTCCTAAGAATTGTTATTTTAAAGACTCAGATACACAGAAGCGGTACATTATTTCTGAACGCAGACTGAGTTAGACTAAATGTTTGCTTTAACCACAAACAACCTCTCGGACTACAATGGAGCTATTTGTGATTTAGGCTTCTCTTTACAAGTCCACCTTTTAGAAGATGGTCCTGGCATTTGTGAGGGAAAACTAGCATTACTGTTGATTTTTTAACTAGCAATGGAACAACAACAGTCTAAAGTTTGCAGATGATACCAAACTGGGTGGGGCTGCGACTTCTTTGGAGGATAGGGACATAATTCAAAATGACCTTAGCAAGTTAGAGAAATGGTCAGAGGTAAACAGGATGAGGTTTAATAAAGAGAAATGCAAAGTGCTCCACTTAGGAAGGAACAATCAGTTCCATACATACAAGATGGGAAGCGACTGTCTAGGAAGGAGCATGGCGGAAAGGGATCTAGGGGTCATAGTGGACCACAAGTTGAATATGAGTCAACAGTGTGATGCTGTTGCAAAAAAAGCAAATATGATTCTAGGTTGTATCAGCAGGTGTGTTGTAAGCAAAACTCGTGAAGTCATTCTGCCGCTCTACTCTGCACTAGTTAGGCCTCAGCTGGAGTACTGTGTCCAGTTCTGGGCGCCACATTTCAAGAAAGATGTGGAGACATTGGAAAGGGTACAGAGAAGAGCGACAAGAATGATTAAAGGTTTAGAGAACATGACCTATGAAGCCAGGCTTCATGAACTGGGCTTGTTTAGTTTGGAAAAAAGAAGATTAAGGGGGGACATGATAGCGGTTTTCAAATATCTAAAAGGGCGTCACAAGGAGGAAGGAGAAAATTTGTTCCTCTTGGTTTCTGAGGACAGGACAAGGAGTAATGGGCTTAAGGTGCAGCAGGGGAGGTGTAGATTGGACATTAGGAAAAAATTCCTAACTGTCAGGGTGGTCAAATATTGGAATAAATTGCCAAGGGAGGTAGTAGAATCTCCCTCTCTGGAGATATTTAAGAACAGGTTAGATAGACATCTGTGAGGGATGGTGTAGGTGGAGCTTGGTCCTGCCTTGAGGGCGGGGGGCTGGACTCGATGACCTCTCGAGGTCCCTTCCAGTCCTATGATTCTATGATTCTATGAAAGACGACTACATTTACCAATATTGTTGGACCAACATCTTTTCACTTTCCAAACTCACCTTTGAAAACGCCCACACCAACACAATATTTCCCTCTATCCCACAATATTTTAAGTTGCCTTTTCTATACCTTCATTTGTACCTTCTGTTATCTTCTGTTTACTGCTGTTTTTTTCAGGAATCAGCTGTTTTACTGATTCCACCTCCCTTTCTTTCACTTGCTTCTCTTCTTTTGCTTTTAGGGCATCATCATTCTTCTTTAAATGGTCAAACTTCTTGTCATTCTTTTCTTTTTTCTCTTTTCTTCTTTCCCCTTTCTCAGTGCTCTCTGGTTTCCTGTCACCTTTATCTGTTAATTTACTTTTCTGATCATCACTTTCTTGTAGAAGTTCTTTGCCTGGATTAATTAAATTGCTAACATCTTTCGTTGAATTTTTGATTTCTTCACTTGGGCAAGGGAGATCATTTAAATCTTCACACTTTGCAACTATTTCACTTCCTTCTGAGTGAATGGGTTTCTCTTGTTCTACTAACTCTTCTGAGTTCCGCTCTCTCTCTGTGCTATCATCAACACTCTGTTGAGATGGGAGTCTTTTTGAAGTTCTGTCATTGTTCTTGGAATTTGTATTCTCTGTTGAAGCCCTGGCAGCACTTGCTTCCTGGTTAAGAGAAGTTATTGTTTCCAAAATGGACATGGCATCACTAACTACATTAGTACTAGGAGCTGTAGCAGAAACACCTTAAAGAATGAGAAAAAAATAAAACATTTTAACTAATCAAGATTTTCATAACATTTATTAAGAGAAAATATTTATTTCTATATTGATTATATTTCTGAAGGCAAAGAGCTTTTCAGATCAAATTAGTCAAGAATTTTGATTAATCTGAATCACAGTATTTGTTTCTTACATATCAAGATATCACTATGCTAAATTGTTTGTGGTCTGGTTATCTGAGATACACTTTGCTCTCAATGCTATTTTGCTGCTGAAGAAATTCAGAGCAGGTCCCTCACTTTATAAAGAGAGAGTGACCTGCAAGATACAGTCTCCATGGAGGTCTTTCAACTTCTGAATTTTCTCCACCAGCCCAAATTCAATGTATACCCCACAGTTTGCCAGAATAGCCAGTGAAATATTGAAGGAAACAATGCTAGAACATACTCCCTTCAGTATCTTTATTAATGACCTGAAAGAAGGATTACACTGAATATTAACTACTTTTTGTAAGAGTTACTGCATTGGGAGGAACTGCAAACACAGGTAGGCACTGTTATGTAACATGCCCATCCCATCAGTAGTGACTTAAGATGGTAAAGAAAGGGTTAACCTGCAGCTGTCTCTTCAACCCACCTGCTTAAAAGGAAGCAACAATAAGCCTCCCAGAAACAGAGTTAGAATATAAGCAAATGCTCTGGTTCATGAAGACAGAGCTGATATTGTAAATAGCCAGGTTTATCATAGTCCTAAATTAAACCAACGGTGGAAAGACGACTTAGCTGGAGGGCTTCTTGTAGGAGTGAATTTTCAAGTACATACTGTGGATGACCAAGTAATTAAAAACCTGAAAACAGCAGACTATTTACTGGATGTAATTTTAGTGACAAGGCAAGGAGCAATGGTTGTATGAGAGCCTAATATGCTCTGTAAAAGTAGATTCCAGAAATAGTTTACAGCCTGAGCCTAGAATGAAGTAGGAAATTGTCTATGGCCAAGTAGCCGACTTAATACAAAGGGTAAAGTTCAAATAGAAATATGCATTAGGGACATAAGAGACTGGTTGACTAGTGACTCGAATAGTCACTTCACCCCATTCCTTGCTGTTGCTATCAGAGAGAGGCAGCAAGGGAGTGGAAGCAGGAGCTGGTGCTGAGGGAATTGGGGGCTGCCAGCTGAAAAGCCCTCAGAACCATCTCTGCAGGGTGAAGGAGGGAAAGGGAAGGCAGAAGTGTAGCGGGGGACCAGGTGCGAGCTAGGAATCAGTTGTCCTGGCTCGTGCCCAGTCCCCCCCGCTACGCTTCAGCCTTTTGAATGAATTAAGAGCCTGGTGGGCTCTACAGTTTCCCCCCTCATTAACTAATCAATGGAAATGCCATCGACTAGTTGATTAAATACCAGTTAAACCCCCTAATATTGCACAGGAAACAGTTAAGTAAGATTCACTCTGGAAATATGTAAGCAATTTATACACCTGGGGTGGGTAATAAAACAGAGGCAGTTTGCTTCCTGCAGCTCTCATTGGTTGGGAACAACTGTCTCTGTAAGCACCCGCAACAGGGGCTATCAACAGGGAGTTTAGAGAGGGAGTTCTCCAGATAAAGGAGGACGCTAATACAGGACCCTTGAGAGAAGTGGCTGTCTGTAGTGAGTGTTTGGGGTTTTCTTGCTGTGTGATGATCTTGTGTTTGGCTGGGTTTTTTTTCTTCTTTCCCTCTCCTTTTCCTCCCGCCATGGAGTGTGTGCTGTGTCTGGCAGGTAGAAGCTGTGAGCTTCTAATCAGGGTTTGAAATCTAGAAGCCTCTGCTCACTGGTTGAGCCTTAATCAGGGGGAGGGGCTATTAGACAGTCCAGGGCTTTATAAAGGAGTGAATCAGCGACCAGGGAGCTTGTGAACAGGGACTGCTAACAGGGAGTTTGGAGAAGGAGTTGGGAAGGGAGTGAGATACACTCACCATTCTTTAAAAACTTTTTACTACTCTCCTGCCCTTCAAGGAGGCATTTAACAACAACTGAGGAATCTCTCAGAAGGAAGGCAGGAATGGATGGTGATAGGTCTGCTGTTGTTACCTGTACAGCATGTACCATGTTTGTCTTCCTCCCAGAAGAAAGAAGAGGTTTCATCTGCACTAAGTGCAAGCTGGTCACTATTTTGGAAGAAAAAAATTAGAGGACTTGAGGCCCAAGTATCAACCCTACGTTCTATCAGAGAGGATGAAGACTTTCTCGATAGATAGCAGTGTTTAATCCTGCAGGTACAGCAGGCTGAAGAGCCAGTCAGGGCAGTACAGGACAAGGAAGAAAACTGGCAGTATGTACCCTCTAGAAGGAGAAGGCCAACTCACGTATCCCCCATTCCTGTAGAGATAAGTAACCGCTATCAGGCTCTCTCCACAAGCACTGTGGTAGAGAATGCTTTGGCAGGGACCTCTCAGGGAAGAAATCAGAAGGGAACACCATCTACCAGAAGGCATGGATGCGTAGTCTTAGGGATGGGGGTTCTACGACCACCACCCCCAAAAGAAGACAACAGGTGGTGGTGGTCGGGGACTCCCTCCTAAGAGAGACTGAGTCATCCATCTACTGTCAAGACCTGCAATCTCGAAGTGTTTACCAGGCACTCGCATTCAGGATGTGACCAAGAGTTTTCCAAAGGTTTAATCATTTTCCACTACCTCTTCCTGCTTCTCCATGTAGGAACTAACGATATGGCCAAGAATGACCTTGAGCGTGTCACAGCAGATTATGTAGTGCTGGGAAGAAAGATCAAGGATTTGACGCACAAGTGGTGTTCTCGTCCATCCTTCTGGTTGAAGGAAAAGGTCCAGGTAGGGATCATCGACTTGAGAAAGTAAATGCGTGGTTGCTCAGGTTGTCGTCGGAGAGAGAGCTTTGGTTTCTTCGACCATGGGACTCTGTTCTGGACACAAGGATTGTTAGGAAGAGATGGGATCCACCTAACCAAGAGAGGAAGAGTATCTTCGTGGGCAGGCTTTCAAACCTATGAGGAGGGCTTTAAACTAGGTTCGTTGGGACGGTGACCAAAGCCCTGAGGTAAGTGAGGCAGTCGGACACCAGGAAGAATCACAACGAGGACCCTTCATTCGGATGGAGAAGTAGGGCAATCAACTGGTTATCTAAGGTGTTTGTACACAAATGCAAGAAGCCTGGGAAACAAACAGGAAGAATTAGAAGCCCTGGCTCAATCAAAGAACTATGATTTGATTGGAACAACAGAGACTTGGTGGGATGACTCGCATGACTGGAGCACTGTCATGGAAGGGTATAAACTGTTCAGGAAGAACAGGCGGGGGAGAAAAGGAGGAGTTGCATCGTATGTAAGAGAGCAGTATGATTGCTCGGAACTCCAGTATTTAGAAGGAGAAAAAAGACTGTTGAGAGTCTATGGGTTAAGTTTAGAGATGGAAGCAACAGGGGTGATGTTGTGTCTGTTATAGACCACCGGATCAGGTGGATGAGGTAGATGAGGCTTCTTCAGACAGCTGAGAAAAGCTTCCAGATCTCAGGCCCTGGTTCTCATGGGCAACTTTAATCACCCTGACATCTGTTGGGAGACCAATACAGCAGTACACAGAAAACCCAGGAAGATTTTGGAGAAAGTTAGGGATAACTTCTTTCTACAAGTGCTGAAGGAACCAACTAGGGGCCATGTGCAGCTTGACCTGCTGCTCACAAACAGGGAGGCATTAGTAGGGGAAGTAGAGGTGGGTGACAACCTGGGAAGCAGTGAGATGGTAGATTTCAGGATTCTGACCAAAGGAAGAAAGGAGAATAGCAAAATACACACCTTGGACTTTAGAAAAGCAGACTTTGACTCCCTCAGAAACCTGATGGGCAGGATTCCCTGGGATGCTTACATGAAGGGAAAAAGGAGTCCAGGAGAGCTGGCAGTATTTTGAAGAAGCCTTATTAAAGGCACAGGATGAAACCATCCCCATGCGTAGCAAGAAAAGCAGATATGGTAGGTGACCAGATGGGCTTACTGGGGACATCCCTGGTAAGCTTAAACACAAAAAGGAAGCTTACAAGAAGTGGAAACTTGGACAGACGACTAGGGAGGAGTATAAATATATTGCTCGAGAACGCAGGGGCGTTATCAGGAAGGCAAAAGTGCAACTGGAATTGCAGCTAGCAAGGGAGGTGAAGGGTAACAAGAAAGGTTTCGACAGGCATGTTAGCAATAAGAGGGTAATCAGAGAGGGTGTGAGACCTTTACTGGATGAGGGAGGTAACCTAGTGACAGGTGATGTGGGAAAAGCTGAAGTACTCAATGCTTTCTTTTCCTCTGTCTCCACAGAGGAGATTAGCTCCCAGACAAATGCACTAGGCAACGCAGTATAAGAAGGAGGTGGACAGCCCTTGGTGGGGAAAGAACAAGTTAGGAACTATTTAGAAAAACTAAACATACACAAATCCATGGGCCTGGATTTAATGCATCCAAGGGTACCGGAGTTGGCAAATGTCATTGCGGAACCTTTGGCCATTACTTTTGAAAACTCGTGAGAAAACAGGAGAGAGCCCGGATGATTGGAAAAAGGCAAATGTAGTGCCCCTTTATTCGGCTCTGGTGAGCCACATCTGGAGTATTGTGTCCAGTTCTGGGCCCCCCACTATAGAAAGGATGTGGACACATTGGAAAGGGTCCAGCAGAGGGTGACCAAAATTATTAGGGGGCTGGAGCGCATGACCTATGAGGAGAGACTGAGGGATTTGGGTTTGTTTAGTCTGCAGGAGAGAAGAGCGAGGGGGGATTTGATAGCAGCCTTCAACTTCCTGAAGGGAGGTTCCAAAGAGGATGGAGAAAGGCTGTTCACAGTAGTAATGGGTGACAGAACAAGGAGGTATGGTCTCAAGTTACAGTGGGAGAGGTTTAATATTAGGAAAAAACTATTACACTAGGAGGATGGTGAAGCACTAGAATGGGTTACTTAGGGAGGTGGCGGAATCTCCATCCCTAGAGGTTTTTAAGTCTCAGCTTGACAAAGCCCTCACTGTGTTGATTTAGTTGGGATTGGTCCTGCCTTGGGCAGGGGACTGGACTTGATGATCTCCTGAGGTCTCTTCCAGCTCTATGATTCTACCTGTGGCTGTGCAGGTAAGTACAGTGGATGCAGTCCTCCACTGGCCTAGATTTGGCCCCTGATGCTCAGGTCTCCTTCTCCTCTTGTGCATTGGGGAGCCTGCACTGGCGCTCTAGACCTCACACTCCCCCACCGTGGGGCTGGAGCGTACGAAGTCCACTAGCCTGACCCTGCCCCCCAGGCTCTGGTGTGCGGGGGAGGAGAGGGAGTGTCTTTCTCCTTCTCAGGTGGGGACCATGTCAGTGAGGAGGTTTTGTTCGTTTGTTTTTGTTTCTCACTTGTGTGCGGCCTTTCACTGATTTTTCTGTGGTTAGTGGCGGCGTACCCAAAAAAGGTTCCCCACCCTAATCATAGAGCCTACATAAGAGCTATGGTGATTTTTAGTTACAAAAGCCACTACTGGGCAGGTGGAGTAGGGCGGGAGATTAAATAATTCAACTACCAGAATACATATGCAGAAAGGATAGAATTAAGGTCTCTCTAAATGCTCCAAATCTTTCTAAACTAAAGAACTGCATTAAGAGAGTTACACCTTTCATACATAGTTGGCTACTCATCTTTTATAGCCTAGGTTCTATTTGAGCCTATGGTGAAAGGGAGACTCACTTTTTCATGGTAATTTCAAATTTAAAATTGTGATATTTAGCCTCTTCTTCCCACCTCTTCCAGCAGTAACAAATCATTAACCAGGGCTGCTCTTTACAGAGCTCATCTTGCTGATCCTTCAGATATTTAGTTTTAACAGCAGAACTAGTGATGATCAATAATACCACTTGCTAAGGAAACCAGGGAGAAAACAGACAACATAGAATAATGGCAAAATACCTTGCACTGTGATAGAAGCATCTCCTTTTTCCTCACTAGGGGCTGCACTCGGGCTTGTTTCCTCTTTGTGATTTAATGTGGCTAAAAACTCATGAACAGCTTTTTCCACCTGAGGTCTGAAAGTGTGGTTGATCTTTGGATCCACAACCTGAGAAATAATTCTGTCAATTCCAGACTCCAACATTCCAGACCTGAAAAAAAAAAAAACCCCCACACACTAATACTTACATATAAGGAAATGTATTTCCACAAACAGATCTGGTTTATCTAAAAAGTGTTTTCCCTCCACACAGACAACTTTCCATAAACTTTCTAAGTTCCTAGAAAGTAATTGTTTGCATTTGCTTCAGGAACACTCCTACCTGACTTGTGTCTAGGTCCATGGTGTCCAACCAGTTCTGAAGCAGTTGCCACTGTAATGGCTAATGCTATAGGGAACTAGCCACACTCAAACGGCCAAATAGCCACATGTGGCTAGTAGCTAGATTGTTGGATACCGTGGATCTAGATAGTGCTCAAAATGTCCCATTAACACACATCTGAATAAACATTTCATGCCTGACAAAAAGCCTGCAGCAAATGGATTTGTTTTTATTCTCTTTCAGCATAAACTTGCAGATCCCCTTTGTAGTTATCTTTATGAATCAGTTTGAGGAAAGCATTCTATGCAGAACAGGTAGCAAGAAATGTGACAGCACTATATCTATTGTCTTCATAACCCCAATGTTAGAATTTCTCAGAATGGCATCATGTTGCAACTACTAAACAGTGGAGTTCAGATTCTTAATTTACTTTATGTAATAGCTTCAGCATTGAACCAGTTAGCTACCTAATAGCCTACCTTTTGTCCATCACGCTCTAGAAAACAGAATGAGTTGCCTATGGCTACATTTCACTTGAGACCATTTCTCCATTTATGGTGTTATCAAGTCTTAACTACAAAATAATTGTATTTCCTCTATACTCAAGTGTTGATACCTATCACTAACCATGCAACAGGTGGCATTTGCTCCCAAGTTTCAGATCTGTCCCTAAAATTGACAGGATGGCAACCTTTATCTATACAAATTAGTTTGGAGTAACATTAGGCGGCTTCTCATATTAGGGTAATGTGCAACACTAGGCAGAGGATATTAATGTAAATGTGTTTATGGCACAAATTAGATTCACCATAAATGCTTATTCAAAGATATTTCAAGATGACCATTTACCAGCAGTCTTTACAAAACTTTTTAGCTGTCCATAGAAATCAAGTCTGTTCAAGGATTTCTGTTTTGTGAATATGACTCTGAATAACTAACTTGTGCTTGCAACATACATGAATTTTCATATCTACAATCCTATTAATAACACAAGATTTAACCCAGAAAACCGAACAACAACTAGTAATTTGTTGAATAAACCACTTATGAGTTAGTGGTAGTGCCAGAATCCTTGTATGCAAAGACTGCAGACCCAATATTCCAACAAAGCGAGACTCCTTCAAAGTTGTGATGCAAAACAGGAAACATTCAACACTGTATTACAACATATCACAAGAGTGACGAGCATTTATATCCGGATACAATGGTAACAAAGGTAACATTCTCTCTTCATAGAAGTTGTGGAATTTCTTTGTCTAGCTAAGCTTTCGTGGGCAAAGACCCACTTCATCAGGTGCATCTGACAAGGTGGGTCTTTGCCCTCAGAAACTTATGCTCCAATATATCAGTTAGTCTATAAGGTGCCACAGGACTTCTTGTTATTTACGCAGATTCAGACTAACACTAGGTTTCCATTCACCTATCACTAGAGCACGAGTATCTATTTAAACGGCAGAATATTAACTCAACTTATGACTTACTTGAGAACCTGCTGCCTAATATTATTTCTCAACTGATTCTTGTTGAGATGAGGACTCCAAGTATGAGTTGCCAGATGATTGGAAACAAAGTTGTCAACGCGTTGTCTCAGGTTTTGATAAGCAGGCTAAAGGGGCAAAAGGTGAGATCAGATATTTAAAAAAGCTGCTTAAAACTCATTTTCCTAATGAGAGGGCTGAAAAACTTTAAAAAGCTCCCTAGATCTTAACTGCCGAATCAATAAAAATATCAGGATTGCCATCCTCTGATAGGCAATGCCCATATACCAAAACCTATTTACCGAAAAGAATTCTATTACCCTCTTGGGAAAAAGTTTATACAGTATAACCTACATAAACGGGAGCGACCAGTCCCTTTTACACAGACGGCCCGATCTTGCTGAAGTCACTCACTGATCCCTGAGAGCTCATTCCTTAGGCAGGAACCTGCTGCTAAGGACCCTGCCAGCGGTCTAGTGCGAGGGGCAACGCGCTGAGCTGCTGCTGCGACGTATCCCCGGGGAACGACATTCCCAGGACGCTAGAGCCAGCCAGGAGGCCCTGCAAGGCTGCGAGGACCCGCCGGCTCCGTGGCCAGGGCAGCCCCGCCTCCACCCCGGGCCA